TTTTTTTTTTTTTTTTTTTTTTTCATTTAGCCTTTATTTATCCAGGTTAGTCTCATTGAGCCACGAGAACTCATTTTCAAGAGAGACCTGTTTTTTTAGGGAGCACATGGTGGGGGTTAAGGGCCTTGCTCATGGGCCCAGAGTGGGGCGAATGAGGGTGGGGGCAAGTGTGGGTGTTTCACCTACCCCACCCACAATTTTTTGATGTTGTCGGGGCCGGGGCGTGAACCGGCGATCTTCGGATCACAAGCCCACCTCTCTAACCTAAAATAATATACTTAAGATGTATCTTCAGCTTCAAACCCTAAACTTCTCCTATATCTTGATAACAGTGCCCCCTAGGGGTTTGTGTTTTTACACTTTTAAAGCATATGTTCAGAAATGGTGAAAGGATTTTAATGGAAATGTTCCAATTAATATGCCACCTGCTGTAGATAACTATTTGAATGAGCTATAGGTTAGTCAGAGCGGGGCCAAGGCCAACACTGACTTCTGCTGTTTTTAAACACTCCAAATCTTGAAAGTTTGACAAGCTGACACGATTGTGTTTGGAGAAATATTAAGATAATCCAGCTGGAAGTGCTCCGTGTTTCACCAGAAGTGCTACAACTACCTGCTATATGTACATGCAAATAATCCCAGACTTCTGTTTAAATAATGTGATCCAAAACTGATAGTGGTGGAAAGATAAGACAGCAACAATCTCCTTTTGTCTTGGCTCCACTTGAACTCAGAATTAAACTTTATTTCGCTAAACAGAAGCTGTTCAAAGAGTTATTTGCAACAGGTAAGATGTTTATTGTTCATAACCTTTCAGCCCAGAGCCCCACTTCAAAAGATCTGATTACACCTTTAATCCCATCCATCCATCCATTTTCTTTACCCGCTTATTCCATTTTGGGTCACGGGGGTCGCTGGTGCCCATGTCCAGCAATCACTGTGCGAGGGGCGGGGTACACCCTGGACAGGTCGCAAGTCCATCACAGGGACACATAGAGACAAACGAGACAAACAACCATTCACTCTCTCATTCACACCCAGGGACAATTTAGAGTTACCAATCAGCCTAACATGCATGTTTTTGGTCTGTGGGAGGAAACCAGAGCACCCGGAGAAAACCCACGCATGCACGGAGAGAACATGCAAACTCCACCCAGAGAGGCCCCTGGACCGGGGTTTGAACCAAGGACCTGCTCGCTGAGAGGCAGCAGCTCTACCAGTTGCGCCACCGTGCTGTGCTGCTACCTTTAATCCCACAAATTCAAAATACTTTATTTAAACACAAAACAAAATAGTTCTTGCAGAAGTGTCTTTATTTAATCCCCCCCACACACACACACACACACATACACACGCACAAAAGGTTCAGGTACAAAAAGCAAATTTTCCTTTCATTTATGTGTAATGTTGCCAACAGGGACAATGACATCACAGGTGTGCTGGACCACACCTTCTGTGTAGAGCACAATGCTTACGGCGAGATCATCCAGCATGAGCTCAAACCAAATGGTAAAAGCATCCCGGTCACTCAGGACAACAAGAAGGAGTACGTCCGCCTCTACGTCAACTGGCGTTTTCTGCGAGGCATCGAGGCCCAGTTCTTGGCTCTGCAGAAAGGCTTCAATGAGGTCATCCCCCAACACCTGCTCAAGTCTTTTGATGAGAAGGAGCTGGAGGTACGTCTTCGTTTTTGTATTCATATGTTCATTTAAAGTTCTAATCCAAACCTGCTGAAACAATTGGTCTGCCTGTAGTTGATCGTGTGCGGCCTGGGGAAGATCGACATCAACGACTGGAAGTCCAACACGCGGCTCAAGCACTGCACTCTGGACAGCAACATCGTGAAATGGTTCTGGAAAGCTGTGGAGTCCTTCGACGAGGAGCGCAGGGCCCGGCTGCTGCAGTTTGTTACCGGCTCTTCAAGAGTTCCTCTGCAAGGTTTTAAGGCCCTGCAAGGTAAAAAAAAAAAAAAAAAAAAAAAGGGCCAAAAATCATAGCTATTAGCCAGGTTGTGTTGTTTTAATGCGTACTGAATGCTAATTAAAACAATGTCTCTTTGGTGCTCAGTCTCTGTCAGCACACTTTAGTAATTATAAACCTGATAAGTTTACTGACTTTAATGTATATTTAACAGAATAAAGGAATCACGGCTGTTGTTTTAGAGACATTTTGCAGGAAAATGGCAGCATTAGCACCGATTTTTATATCTGAAATGAAACCGTTTATCTCAGTGTCCATTTATCTAATTGAAATTCAATAGCAAAAAATTGGTAAGATGAAGCTGAAAGAAGCACAAAATGCAGAAAAATAAAACAAATGCAGAAAAAAGTTACAATTTGAGAAACTAGCTAAAAGCTGAAATTAGCAAAATAGAAGCTGAAATGAGCATGAAAAAAGAAGTGGCAACAATTTATCAAAACAAAGGACATGGAGAACAATGCTACCTAATAGCCGAAGTGCCGGCATGCTAACATCAAACAGAGAAATGCTAGCTAAGAAGCAAAATTAGTGAAAAGCTAGATGAGCACTAGAATACTGGTACTCTAGATTGCTAAATGTAGCAAAGCGTTAGCAAAAAAACTGAGTAGAATTAACATAAGCAGAGCAGACTTCACATTAACACAGCAGAATGCTAGCACAAAGCAGGCAGATGTAGCTTTAACAAGTAAGAATTAGCATTAGCAGGGCAAGATTAGCATTAGCAGGGCATAATATTAGCAAAAACCAGGGTCGAATTGTCTAAAAAAACATTGTCAGGTCCTCTGGATTAATTCTTCTTTGTTGAAACGTTTCATATCCAAAAGACTTCTTCATTCTGAGGAGCTGCAATAAACTCAGTCTTATAAATAGCACCTTCTCTTAGTGGATCAACCAATTTGCTCCTGACAGCCAAAAAAACTGTTCACATGCAAAAGGAGGACCATCAGCCTAACGACCGATTGTTAGAGCCCTGAGTGATACTAGCAATAACATCATTGTAAGAAGGTGACAGTTGAACACGGAGGCCTCCATCCCTGTTGAATGATGGACGGTTTCTTTTCACAAAGGTGGCCTCCTTTGCTCCTCTCTCAAACCAACGTTCCTCTCTATCAAGGATGTTATTGAATCAGTATCAACCAGTGTCAGGAGGGCTGTGATCAGTCTTACATAGGGGGAAACTAAACAGCCACTGGCCAAAAGGATGGACGGACCAGCACAGAAGAGCAACATCATCAGGCCAGGACTCTGCGGTCTACACTCATCTCCAGGCCAGCGGTCACTCGTTCAGGGATGAAGATGTTCACATCCTGGACAGAGAGGAACGATGGTTTGAGAGAGGAGTAAAGGAGGCCATCTTTGTGAAAAGAAACCGTCCATCATTAAACAGAGGTGGAGGCCTCCGTGTTCAACTGTCCCCCTCTTACAATGCTGTTATTGCTAGTATCACTCAGCCCTCTGTGAATAGCAAGCGGCCATCAGGGCCTCTTTTTTTGCATGTGAACAGCTACAGTGCCTTGTGAAAGTATTCGGCCCCCTTGAACTTTTCAACCTTTTGCCACATTTCAGGCTTCAAACATAAAGATATAAAATTGTAATTTTTTTGTGAAGAATCAATAACAAGTGTGCCACAATCGTGAAGTGGAATGAAATTTATTGGATGTGTCAAACTTTTTTAACAAATAAAAAACTGAAAAGTGGGACGTGCAATATTATTCAGCCCCTTTACTTTCAGTGCAGCAAACTCACTCCAGAAGTTCAGTGAGGATCTATGAATGATCCAATGTTGTCCCAAATGACTGATGACGATAAATAGAATCCACCTGTGTGTAATCAAGTCTCCATATAAATGCACCTGCTCTGTGATAGTCTCAGGGTTCTGTTCAAAGCGCAGAGAGCATCATGAAGACCAAGGAACACACCAGGCAGGTCCGAGATACTGTTGTGGAGAAGTTTAAAGCCGGATTTGGATACCAAAAGATTTCCCAAGCTTTAAACTTCCCAAGGAGCACTGTGCAAGCAATCATATTGAAATGGAAGGAGTATCAGACCACTGCAAATCTACCAAGACCCGGCCGTCCCTCTAAACTTTCATCTGGAACAAGGAGAAGACTGATCAGAGATGCAGCCAAGAGGCCCATGATCACTCTGGATGAACTGCAGAGCTCTACAGCTGAGGTGGGAGAGTCTGTCCATAGGACAACAATCAGTCGTTCACTGCACAAATCTGGCCTTTATGGAAGAGTGGCAAGAAGAAAGCCATTTCTCAAAGATATCCATAAAAAGTGTTGTTTAAAGTTTGCCTCAAGCACCTGGGAGACACACCAAACATTTTTTTTTCATTTAGCCTTTATTTATACAGGTAGTCTCATTGAGCCACGAGAACTCATTTTCAAGAGAGACCTGTTTAGGGAGCAGATGGGGGTTAAGGGCCTTGCTCATGGGCCCAGGGTGGGGCGAATGAGGGTGGGGGCAAGTGTGGGTGTTTCACCTACCCCACCCACAATTTTGATGTTGTCGGGGCCGGGGCGTGTGGAACATGTGGAAGAAGGTGCTTTGGTCAGATGAAACCAAAATCGAACTGTTTGGCCACAATGCAAAACGATATGTTTGGCGTAAAAGCAACAGAGCTCATCACCCTGAACACACCATCCCCACTGTCAAACATGGTGGTGGCAGCATCATGGTTTGGACCTGCTTTTCGTCAGCAGGGACAGGGAAGATGGTCAGAATTGATGGGAAGATGGATGGGGCCAAATACAGGACCATTCTGGAAGAAAACCTGTTTGAGTCTGCAAGAGACCTGAGACTGGGACGGAGATTTATCTTCCAACAAGACAATGATCCAAAACATAAAGACAAATCTACAATGGAATGGTTCACAAATAAACGTATCCAGGTGTTGGAATGGCCAAGTCAAAGTCCAGACCTGAATCCAATCGAGAATCTGTGGAAAGAGCTGAAGACTGCTGTTCACAAACGCTCTCCTTCCAACCTCACTGAGCTCGAGCTGTTTTGCAAAGAAGAATGGGCAAGAATTT